TTGACACTAAGTAGCCAAAAACTTCGCAACACGTCTTTGTTACAATTGGAATAAGGTTTTAATGAGTGCTATCGAAATGTACCTGCAATTGGAGCTAGTGGACTACCCCAATTGTAGTGCGGTGATTTAGGTTGTAATATTGTGTTGGCTGTTTATGTTTGGTTGAATTTATTTATTTATTTATTTTATTGGGCTATCAACATGAGATACAGTATTATACACAATTAAAAAATAAACAATTAAGCCAAAGGTCTCTAGCTAACTGCTCCCACACAAACGATAACCACAGCATGCATAATATTATAATGTAAGCAACCCGTGAACTTTACACAATACAATAACATAATTACAACTTTGAATTTAAACAACAAAAAGAAAGCAACAAAAAAAAAAAAAAATGAATGAATTCTTTTAAATGGTCGACTATAGTTACGTATAGGTAATGTAGGCTTTAAAACTATTTGCTGTATCTTCTTTTCCGATTATTTCTGATAGATTATATGGATTGATGTTGACAAACGGGATGTCATTTCATGATTATATCGGGCTGAAGCAAATCTAGGGCACTGTGTTAAAAGGTGTTTCCAAGTCTGTGGAGTCTGGTCATCGCAGGGACAGCGGTTATCTGCGACTATATGGAAACGATATAGGTATTCCTTAAGATAGCCGTGGTTGGTTAAGACCTGGGAAGGTTGTGTTGTTAACTTTTTGACCACTTTCGGTGTCACGAATTATTTGACGCTGACTGTACTAGTACGAGCTTGTTATAAAAGCTTGTTACCGTTTACGCTCGTGAAGCAAGCGTAAAAGCGTAGAAAGCACAGGCTGATATTATTGCATAGGTTCAAACGACTTACGATTCAAGGATCACGCGCAAAATGTAACTGGAGCGCAAAGTGTAGCGTGCATGTAAGCTCGTGTAAGCTCAACTGAAAATGTTCTTAAATACTTAGGCCTTATTAACTAGGAGCTTTGCTATGTGACGTTAATTTGCCATAATGATTTTAATTGATGATAAAGACCAATGGCTATATTTTGTGTCATTTTTGTTAAAACGCTAAGATATTTAAGAGCGTTTACGTNCTATTTAGACGACGAAATTGCCTAACTATTTATGCCTATAACATATTTGTAGTATTACTGGTTAATGATTGTAACGAGTTGAAAAAGTACTGTTTTTGCGTCAAACGGCGTAAACGCTCTTAAAACCAGTTTGTTTTACAACTGAACAAAATGATAAGAATGAATATCTCAATAAACTTTTTTTAATTAGAAAACTTTTCAAACTTTTGGGGAAATAAACATAATATCCTTAATTAAAAATTATAAGTATTAAATGTGTAAGATACCTACTTATTTTCCAATAAAATACTGTTCCTCGCAAATCTTTGTGCCCTCGCGACAGACTTAAATGTTCAGCTACTTATTTTCCCGCATCAAAAACCAATTAAACGTGGTCTTACACATTTTATTCGTTCCAATTAATTTGCATAACAAAAGCTTGTGTCCGTATTTCCCATCGATATAGCTATATACTCGATGTATATGGCTACAATGTAGCTCAAAATGTAGTATTTAATTGATTTGGACAGCTGCTTTTCTGGTGGGTCATGTCCGGGACTTCAACATTGCCTGGTCGTTCAGGATTCGAATCCCGTGAGGGACATTAAATGTGTACCAGAAGTCCTGTATGTTAGTAATATAACTTTAATAGACTATTCTTTTAGATAGCAAATGCTGCAAAAATGTAATTAAAATTCTTCTTAATATCTCATGGTAAATCAAATATGCTTATGTTGTGTGTAGTATGGGTTCGTCCTAGCATATAAGTATTATTATGTCATTAAGTTCGCCTTCGCATTGGATACTTACAAAAGAAATAAATATACGCGTAACAAGTAAGGGTGAATTATTCTTATTCGTGTCGTTTTTTTTCTGGCTTAAGAGCATTTGTATTTACGTAGATCGCATATTGTTGTTTTAACATACCACCATAATCACATTCTGTTTAGATTCGATGCTGACCCTATCAATGTCAACAAAAATCCAATTAAAAAGAGTGGTGTTACACATTTTATTCGTTATTCCTTCCAATCAATTTGCATCCCAAAGCTGTCCCGTATTCCCGATCGATGTCCCTACATAGCTACAGGCTGTTTCCAAAAGCAGTAAAGGCCCTTTGCTATTAATCCAGTTTTGCAGGAACTACATACTGGACTTGTGTGATCACACGGCAGTACCCCGTTTTGTATGCAGAAATGGTATTTTGCAGTACGGGTGTTTGAAAAAATAAACATTCAGGTGGTCAGGGGGATTCTTGGATGGCTCAAACATGGAGTGCGGTTTTGTTCCCCAGTCGATGAAGCACATGATGTCGTGCCCTGGGTGCCCAGACAACTACACGTAGGAGGATTTAATGATTGCTGCTGACAACGCCACTCTTGTGGCGGAGTTTTGGGCTGACACTGTGTAGGTTTGTTGTCGACACGATAAGAAGAAGATGACAAAACTGAATTCAAAATTTTAACGGATCGGTTATTTGCGGGACATTGCTAACGGGATATTCGTGTGAACGTATATTACTAAACGGGATTCTGCAAGCGGAATACCGCCATGTGAATACACAAGTCCAGTTTTGCGGAATTCGGTAATGCAGGATCCCGCATAACGGATCGCCATGAGAAATGGTCCTACTATTAATGAATTACCGTTATTCAATCAATATTCAAAATGTTTCTCCATTTTTCGATAAGGCCGGTGATCCATTTAGGGGGAGGGCTATAAATCGGGGATAAAGGCAATTTAGAGCAATTTTGTATAAGATTAATCAAAGTCTTTGTTTAGTGGTGTGGCAAGAAACATAGGGTCGTGTTGTACGTTTAGGGCCTGGGTAGTCCTGCCCCCATGTTCTATCATCAGTTATAGTCGTAGGACGGTCAGTTTACCTTATTAGACAAGAAGTTTACATTTAACAAGGCCCTGTCACTGCTATGAATAGGTAATTATAGGAGATACGAGATTACGAGGTATAAAGTCAAGTCAAAAGTCAAACAGTGAACTTTTTTATTTAACATTCATAATTATTTTTCACAACACTACAACATTCAACACATTTTCACTGTCCACCAACTAATTAGTTTTATGCAATTTCTTATTAACCGACTTCAAAAAATGTGGAGTTTCTTAATTCGTTTTGTATGTAAGGTAAAGTTGTTGCACATCAGACTGTACATTTTTGTTATAATTATGTATAATTATAAAGACTAAACCCTTGAAAAAGAGGCTGACTATTGTCACTATTGTCACTATTGTGACTGAGTTTCTTGCACTGCTTCTTCACAGCACTGGTCCATTTATTGTCACGAAGCAGTAGTAGGGTTGTTAATACAGGGACGTGTAAAAGTGCTTTTAAGAAGCCTAGAGTTTTATAAGAGTTTTTTATGTTGCAAAATAGCTCCAATTACAGCCACACATAGTGCCGTGTACAGTTCGATGTGCCGTCCATACAATCCTCAATTCTCACCTCATAGAATAGTATTTTGCGTCGGTTTTATCAAACGGGTAGGTACACACGTGACGCCACGCCACAATGTACGAATAATGGGACACCCCCCCCCTCTCCCCCCCTCTCCGCTACTGTCGGGCAAAGCGGAGAAAAATTAGTACTGAAGAGGCAAAGATTACAGCTTTTTGCGGATCAAAAACGGTCAGCTATTCTTCTTTCGTATGTATTCAGTTTCGTTTTGTACACTTAGGCTGAGTTGCACCACTTAACTTTGACCGTAACTATAACGATAACCGGTGCTTTTTGTATTGAGTTTGACAGATTTTTGACGTTTGTTAAAGTCAATGTAAGATGGTGCAACCCTAAGGCTGGGTTGCACCATCTTAGTGCTTTCGTATAATACCAAATTAAGAGTTACTAGTCTGTGTTCTATGGATAGATTCAGGCCGCTACCAACCGTTTTTATGGAAATCATTGGGGGAGGTCTATGTTCAGCAGTAGACGTCCTATGGCTGATATGATGATGATGATGCTACCTACCTATATCCATAGGCGGTGAAGTCCTGAAGCTGAAAAACTGGATACTGTCATAAATTGAGTTACGCTGAAATATATCTCCCTTTTGGGATAGGTTCTCAACGAATCGACTCAGAGATTTTCCTCAAAACTCGATTCATTTCAATTCGATAATGAACCTCCTCCTTTGAAGTCGGTTAAAAACAAACCTAAATAGAGTTCAGACATAATGGCAACATTTCCAAAGCATTGTTCCAACTTCAGTGCCCGTGCCAGCGTGAATCATTTAAATTCAAGACTTTAGCTCTGTTTTGTGGTTGACGCAATTTAGCCCAATGGTGGTGATTAAAAATGTGTCAAAAGTTTCGTGGCTGCACACCTGGGATGCTGATGTTTCATACAATTTGGGTGGAAACTTTTTGCCAGTGAAACAGTTTTGTGCGCGAAATAGCAGGTGTGGGAAATTAGAGTAATTTTAATACGCTGCTTACTATTATAGGAACGTACTATTATTATTGGTGGCTACCGGCTACTTAAGGTACTAGGTACTATGTACCTATTAGCAACTTGTAACTGAAATCTTACCAGTATCTGGACATAGTTGAAGCAAAATGATTCGAATTAGTGTTAAGTTCCCAAAAAAATCTGCAAGGAAAGGAAATAAATGCCACGGAAATTGACACAATAAATGCTTTAATGATTGATTGATAGGTAACGAAAGTTTTTATTACTTACTCATCCCCATTGCTTATCTTATTATTAAGTCATAATTATAGACTTTCAGAAAAGTAGACATTTGCAATGTTTGTGGCATTATTATTGAATTTCGCGCGAACATAGCCGTAACCAAAAGCTTGTGCTTGCATACTCTGTCTGTCTGTACCCACTTCAAACAAGTGCTAAATTACTACAAACCTTGTGATATTATGCATTTACGTGTGTGTAAGTGACTGGCGATTAATGATATGTGGTTTTACAGCAGAGACAGCCTCACCGACGCGTTTGGTGACGGCAAGAATAGCGACAACGGCGACTACCGCAAGTCGCCCGCGCCTGAGGATGACATCCTCTCTGCCAGCGCTCACCAGCGACCCTCAGGTATGTATGATACAGCTAGATGTACCAAGGTTTACTTCAGAGACAGTCTCATTGATGAAAGTCGCTCGGCCATTCGAGTGAAAACGGCAAGTCAAGTGACAACGGCGATTACCGCAAGTCTCCCGCGCCTGAGGATGACATCCTCTCTGCCAGCGCTCACCAGCGGCCCTCAGATAAAAATATAATAAAGCTAGACACAACAGGGTTTGCAATAGAGATAGCCAGATTGATGCAGCAGAGACAGACTAACGGATGCGTTCGGCGTCAACAAGTCGCCCGCGAATGAGGATGACATCTTTTTCGCCAGCGCCCACGAGCGGCCCTCAGGTATAAACGTTTTGTAATACAGACCTTAAAATTTTACTTCATAAAACATTACACTTGCAAGTTCATATAGTTCAGGAAAACGGGACCAGTCCCACCTTTTTTCCGTTTCAACTCCTTTAGAGCCAGGATCTAAACTTAAGCCTCCAGTGAAAGTGTGACTAAGTTATTGGAGTGTAGCATAATATTTACTTGGCCTCCCCAACCCTGGCAAGCGTATGGAGTGCAGGCCAAATCCTTCATTTGCCTCTAAATTAGAGGGTCTTACTCCTTCAGTGTAAACTAAATGATTTGATGATGATGATGAACCTTGGGATGATGGGAAGAGCCTGGATGCGGACAGCGCAGGACCGTGTATTGTGGAAAACCTTGGAGGAGGCCTTTGTCCAGCAGTGGACGGCATTTGGCTGAAACGAACGAACGACCGATACGAACGATCATCATCATCATCATTTCAGCCACAGGACGTCCACTGCTGAACATAGGCCTCCCCCAATGACTTTCACATCGCACGGTTGGTAGCGGCCTGCATCCATCGCCTTCCCGCTACCTTTATCAGGTCGTCGGTCCACCTTGTGGGTGGACGTCCCACGCTGCGTTGAATGAACGAACGATGAACCTTACACAATCTTCCTTCCACCAGTNGTTGAGTGTATAACGATAACCGGTGCTTTTTGTATTGAGTTTGACATATTTTTGACGTTTCTTAAAGTCAATGTAAGATGGTGCAACCCAGCCTTACTGTTAGTGCTTTCGTATAATACCAAATTAAGTGTTAGGTACTAGTCTGTGTTTTATGGATAGATGCAGGCCGCTACCGACCGTTTTTATGGAAATCATTGGGGGAGGTCTATGTTCAGCAGTAGACGTCCTATGGCTGATATGATGATGATGATGATGCTACCTGCCTATATCCATAGGCGGTGAAGTCCTGAAGCTGAAAAACTGGATACTGTCATAAATTGAGTTACGCTGAAATATATCTCCCTTTTGGGATAGGTTCTCAACGAATCGACTCAGAGATTTTCCTCAAAACTCGATTCATTTCAATTCGATAATGAACCTCCTCCTTTGAAGTCGGTTAAAAATAAACCTAAATAGAGTTCAGACATAATGGCAACATTTCCAAAGCATTGTTCCAACTTCAGTGCCCGTGCCAGCGTGAATCATTTAAATTCAAGACTTTAGCTGTTTTGTGGTTGACGCAATTTAGCCCAATGGTGGTGATTAAAAATGTGTCAAAAGTTTCGTGGCTGCACACCTGGGATGCTGATGTTTCATACAATTTGGGTGGAAACTTTTTGCCAGTGAAACAGTTTTGTGCGGGAAATAGCAGGTGTGGGAAATTAGAGTAATTTTTATACGCTGCTTACTATTATAGGAACGTACTATTATTATTGGTGGCTACCGGCTACTTAAGGTACTAGGTACTATGTACCTATTAGCAACTTGTATCTGAAAATCTTACCAGTATCTGGACGTAGTTGAAGCCAAATTAACTTCTATATAGGCTTTCGTGCAGTAGTGGACGGCCAGTTTGAATGATTCGAATTAGTGTGAAGATTCCCAAAAAATCTGCAAGGAACGGAATAAATGCCACGGAAACTGACACAATAAATGATTTTATTGATTGATTGATAGGGAAGGAAAGTTCTTATTACTTTTTATTACTTACTTATCCCCATTGCTTATCAATAAGAATCGTAATAAAGGAATGAAAAGTCATGATTATAGACTTTCAGAAAAGTAGACATTTGCGATATTTGTGATATGCATTATTGAATTCCGCGCGAATATAGCCGTAACCAAAAGCTTGGATAAACTTGCATACTCTGTCTGTACCCACTTCAAACAAGTGCTACATTCCTACAAACCTTATAATATTATGCATTTACGTGTGTGTAAGTGACTGTAATGGCGATTAATGATAAGTGGTTTTACAGCAGAGACAGTCTCACCGACGCGTTTGGTGACGGCAAGAATAGCGACAACGGCGACTACCGCAAGTCGCCCGCGCCTGAGGATGACATCCTCTCTGCCAGCGCGCACCAACGGCCCTCAGGTATAAACGCCGTTTTATAATATAGATTATACAGACCTTAAAAGTTCACCCAGTAAATACCTTCACACTTGGGAATACACACTCAGGGAAACGGGACCAGTCACACCTCTTTTTCCACCGTTTCAATTACGTTACAGCCAGGATCTAAACTTTGGCCTCCAAATTTATAACAAAATCCTCCTATCACATAAAAAAAAAAAAAATTTATAACAAAATCCCTAAAGAAATAAAAGATCTTAATATAAATATGTTTAAAAATAGACTACACAGGTGGCTTATGAACCATAGTTTTTATGAAATAAAGGATTTCTTGACATTCAAATATGTATAAATGTAATTTTTTAAAATAGCTGACATAATTAATTTATTGGACATTTTATTATTGTAAAACTGTACTGTACTGTTGAAAATTGATATAATTATAATGACATTGTTTCTTTTTTATGTATTAATATTCAAACTTGCATGCTTCTTGATGTAGCAAAACATGTGGACTTATTTTATAGCTGTAACAACTGTATACCATGTTTTATGCAAATAAACAATTATTCTATTCTATTCTATTCTAAAGTGTGCCCAAGTTATCGGAGTGTAGCCTAATTACAACCTATCTGGCCAGCGTGGGAAGTGTAGGCCAAAACCTTCATTTGCCTCTGATAAATTAGAGGGTCTTGATCCTTCAGTGGAGACTAAATGACCTGATGATTATGATCAAGAACCTAATACAATCTTCTTTGACATAACGATGATGATCAAGAACGTGACATATTTTTTTCTTTCACCAGTAACGGAGTCGGAGAACATGCTTCCCCGCCACCTGTCTCCAGAGGTCGCCGCGGCACTCCAGAGCGTCAGGTTCATCGCGCAGCACATCAAAGATGCCGACAAGGATAACGAGGTTAGTGCACACCTAGTTAGTGGTACGTCAAATGTCCACTAATTGTCAATTTAGTTAGTCGTACATGGTCGTACATCAAATGTCCAAAGGTTTTATGCACAAAATCTTATTTTATAAGGACAAGCAGTAAAGAAAAATAAATGATAGAAAAAAACCCTAACGCATACACAATAGCGAAACAAAAAATGATAAAATTAGCAAGAAACTTCATGATAATAAGTATTGAATATCGATGATAGTTCGGTAAGCATTACTAGTAAATTAGTAATACCCTAACTAAAACATAAATCACGTTTTATACCTATCAATTTGTTGGTAACTGACATCCAAAAACATCTCGCTTGGTTGGTCAAACCATCGATAAAAAATAATTGGTCGCAACATTAAATAACTTTTCAAACTAATTATGAATTTTCAAGCGGCGTGCAGAAACGCCGGAACAGCGGTCTTAATTATCGCCGAATAATAATAAAGAACGAAAAAACATTACTTTTATTTCCGAGGTCGGTTTGAATATTCATGTAGTGTGTCCGCGCTGTGATGGCCGGTGGAGCAGAGAGTAATGGAGTGGGGGTGACGGTGTTGTAATTAGGGGAACGGGAATTAGGTGCGTACTGCAGAAGAAAACTTGATTCAATTTAAAGCATTTGAGGCTTTTCATTGGTTGAATTTCAATATTAGACCAATCACAGGACAAATGATGGAGATTGGTTTTAGTTTTGAAAGTTGTTTTGTAATACGGATTTTAGTGCTATTAGGTTAGTAATAAAAGTACCAAAGATCTTGAGTACGCTAAGGCACGTAGCTTCTCAGCGCTTGGCATTTGTTTGTCTAAAAGCAATAAAGGTAGAGATGATTTAAGAAAAACATTTATTTGGTTCGTACATAAAATAACACACATTAAAGTAAGTAGGTACTGTNTTAAAATTAAATAATAACAAGATGCATAATTAATTAAATTAAAACATAAATAACAATATTAATAAACATACAAAGACATGTCAAAAACAAACAAAAACCATTTCTACTGCACGGCCATAAAAGTCGAGGCAGAGACAGAAGAGAAAAAAAAAACACATTAAAAAAAAGTATCACTTGTCAAGTTGACTTGACATTTGCCACGTCCACCAGCCACGTAACAAAAATAATTAACAATCGGTTTTAGCAATAATGTACCTACATAGTTATTAACTTAACTTTTATAAATTGTGATTAAATTCCATTGAGTAGAAATTATAATATTGTGGTTAAAATAAATAAAAATGTCAATCAGGTGCCGAAAATTGATGAACATGATAGGTGAGTGGACTTTTCTAACCTTGACCTAAGAACTTGACGAATAATCCCGCGTGTCTAATCAAACAATTACTCACATAAATAACATATTTTCAGGGTGTTCAGTAGGGGAGACCTAAATACATTTAATTGGGATCTCATTCAGCCACCCAACGAGAGCATCGGAACGACTAAGGGCATATGGTAAAAGGGAACTAAGAAGAGCAGCGTTCTCAAAGCCGGAACGACGCCAAAGCCCAACGAACGACGTGCGTGCTCCGATGGTATGCAAATCAGTAGATTTCATTTTGTAAATCTAATAAATGCTTCTTCAACTGTATTTTAAATAACTGAAATAAAACAAAAGATTGTAAAATTTTTGTAAATTAATGGTAAAATCAAAATAGTTGTAAACATTCCGTAAATGATCATTAATTCATTGATTAGCATAATTAGTAAGTAATATTATATAAAAAATAAACGCCTTATAATGCAATTGATTATGTAAATAGACAATTTATTGAAATAAATCCATTTACTCTTATTTGTATACCTCATGTAAAAACATTTTTTTGAATTATTTATAAGTACATTCATATTTTAATGCAAAATTCAATAATAAACTTTATACTGAACAAATTTTGGAACATTGCTATTTACATAGTTTTTTTTTATATATTATTTTATTACATATCGTCATCTGAATTGGATTCTTCGCAACTACTCTCTAAATCTCTATTAAAATTGAGCCAAGGCTGCATTTTGTCCACTGCTACTATACCTTCATAGCGGCGGTTATTTTTGCGTGACAATGGTGTATCTTCGATAACGTACCTATCATTTGGAAGTGACTTAACTACGCGATAAGGTCCCTGGTATTTAACAACTAGCTTTTGTGACTGTCCATCGTGAGGGACCTGTCGTTCAACACGCACTAAGTCCCCTTTGTTATAGTTTTTCGCGGGTTTTCTACGAGCGTTAAACCTTTCCGCCTCTTTAATTTGCTTTTCTTTTATGTTTTTCCTAGCCTCATCCCTAATGTCTCCTAATTCTTCTGTCGTTGTCATATTCACTGTATCGTCTAAGACTTCACTTAATATTCCATCACTCCTACATTTTATATTAAACCCGAAAAGCAACTCTGATGGCGACTTTTGAGTTGTTTTGTGAGTTGTCGTATTTAGGCCTAACTGGATATCTAGAATTTGTTCGTCCCAAGACTTTTCGTCTTTGCCATGGGTCGAAGTAGAAAGTGCATCAAGAATGGTTCTGTTGAATCTTTCTAATTGACCATTCGCGCGCGGAGTTGAAACAGCATTCTGTATGTGTTTGATGCCATGTGATGTTACAAACTCCTTAAAAACTGTACTGGTGANTAAATGGAAGCTTGGGCGTATTGTCAAAGTCTTTCCTGGAGCCAGTGATGGTATATGTCGCGTCGCTGACATACGGACTGCGAACGGCGTCGTACGGCGTAGCTTCAGCAAGATTGTTCCGTTGCTCCCAGAAGAAGACGTTTCGGTTGAAGGACGAGCCTTCAACGCGCGGGGGCATGTTCGCGATCGCGAGTGATATAAAACCTATTTGGATATTATGACAGTGAAAAATCATACGGCATTCTTTTGTTTTACTCTCTGTCTGTTGGATTCGATCAGTACACAAGTCTGTTGAAATTATTTCGCATTTTTACTTTAAAATATACCTGATTCCCTTCAGGTACAACGACTAGAACCAAAAAGGCAACTGCTCATTTTGATTTGACTGACTCAGCTATTTCGCAACAGTCAGTCTCCATTTTTGGTCAAAAAATGTCTGGATTGAGATTTTTAGCTTTAGCGTTCTCAATGCTCATCTTTTTATGAAATGACTATGAAAAGTTCCTACTTAAGTAGGAGATGAGCATGCTCAAGCTTAATCTCAATTCAGAATCCGAGCAAAAGCCATGATTATACGTGTATTCTTGATACAGAGCTTGACGCTACGTTTTTCACGGGATCCCAAATTCCTCCTATCACCTGCAAACTATCTCTAAAATCACGGAAACTCCACTTTATCCACCAAATACTTTGTGGAAATGCAATTTACAAGCACAAGAAATACACCACAGCTGTGGGCACTTCCCATTCGGTCGGGAATATTACAAATTCCGACTCCACAACAAAGTAAGACTAATCTACTTCACTGCAACATCGCGTGTACAGTCGTATTGATAATAAAAATCCTGAAACACGGCACAGAGAAAACAAATTTTGTTTCGTGTTGCATTTAGCGGTTGTTTGTCTTGTATAAAAAGTTTATTTAGCTGTGTAAAGAGAAGAAGTGAAATTTCGTTTGAACTGTACTCCGTTGTTTGTTCTTCAAACAAATAGAAGCTGTAGTTCGAACACGTAAAACGTATTATTGTAGTGACGTGTTTTTACTTCCTTCAGCGCAAATCTAGGACAGTTCTTACAGATTTTTGTAAGCCAGATTTTACATCCTTCTTTCATGGCAAATATTGGGGCAAATGTTTTGGAGAATATTGGGACAAAAAATTAAAATACTGAGTCGCTCATCTGTTTCAATTGACAAAACTTATTATTATTAAACATATCGCAAGCAAGATATATGAGTACGTACTAGAAACGCGTCAACCCTAGATTCTTTTCCTTGAGACCTGTTGTGTTCCAACTGTAAAGTTGTACTAACGTCATCCGAATGAGGTGACGTTGGCCATTTGATCCAACGAACAAATTAATCCCTCCAAATATTGGGGCAAATGTTTAGCTAAAGTTGCTCATGATCTTGTGCTTCTAATCTCCGTTCTGCTTAACTCTATTTAAGAGCTATTTTTGAAGTACATCAGTTACACTTGACCTGTTGTATCCCAACTGTAAAGTTGCATAACGTCATCCGAATCCGATGACGTTGGCCATTTGATCCAACGTCAAATTAACCCGTCCAAATATTGGGGCGAATTTTCCCATTCGCTGTTTATTTAATCATCGTTGTATTGTTGATTTTTCGAACAGTTAATTAGCGATTTCTACGCTCGCCCGGGGTTGTGTTTTGACAGTTGATTTTATTGTTTGGATAGTTCAGTTTCATTCTGAACCGACTAAAATTGTGGGCGAAGAAAAAACATTAATTGGAGTTGTTGTGAAGGGTTTTGAATAAAACGTATTAATGAAGAGAGTATGAATTATTTCTAAAATCGATATAATAATAAGCAAAGTGAGTAAGTATACAAGTTCAGTTACTACTTTTGTCTCTTACACTCAGTTTCTAATTCAAGATTTCAAATACTATTTTCCAGTGAAACGAGCAGTTTCTTGCAAGCACTTACCAACTTAATAATTTGGTCTAAGCAATAAAGTACTTAGTAGTCTATAACTTCAACCCAGAACCACATACTTAATTCGCAGGTCACATACGATTCAATTAGTAACCCACTCAACCGTTAACCATTTCATCAGACCTTATAAAAGTGAGTGATAAACTCTAGTAAATTGCCGACATCGCCGGTCCTTAAGCCAAAAATTGCTCAGTAAAATCCTCACCGAACACAGCACTTACCGCCCGCCTACGACGGCGTTAATACCAATTTAAATATTCAACAGCTTTAGTAAATGAAGCATTAAAATATTATGTCACCGTCGATACCTAGACATCTGTTAATCGCTCGTTGTAACGTTATGGCTTAAGATGCGCGGGCGCGGGAGCGGTATTGATTATTATAATGAGTC